ATTTGCCATTTGTATGCCTTTGGTGAAATCTGTGTTGTAAGTGATTGCCCATTTTTTACAATGAGAGTTTTTTTCTTAATATTGACTTTTGAGAGTTCTTTATGTAGTCTGGATATAAGTATTTTATCAAATAAGTGACTTGGAAATACTTTCTCCCAATCTCTGACTTATCTTTTAATTTCCTTAAATTGTCTTTCTAAGATTACTCATTTGAATTTTGATGAAATCCAATTTATCAATTTTTCTGTTATAGATTGTGCTTGTAGTGTCATGGCTAAGGAATATTTGCCTAATCCAAGATCACAAAGATCTTCTATGTTTTCTTCTAGAAGTTCTGTAGTTATAAATTTTATATTTAGGTCTTTAATTTATTTTTGATTAAATAATAATTTATTTGGTTATATATTATTAGGTCTTGGTAAGTTTTTTGTTAATTTAAAATTCATCTAGTGGACTATTGCTCCCTTGTGAGTAGTGAGTTATTGTAGTGTTAGAAAATGTGTGTCCCTGTTCCACTGGCAGCTGTCAACACATCTTTCATACCAGTTCCCCAGAGGGTGTTTCTCTATCATCTTACCCCTTCCATAGTATTACTGCCATTGCTTATTAATTCAGTAAACCCTCAAAACAAACACATGTATAACTTCAGTCTTGTACTGATGCCACATGAGTACATTATGGGTGCCACAGCCTGCCCTTGTATCAAACAACTAGTTTGCTGATAGGCCATTCTTTGTCATCTCCTCATTTGATGTCAGGTCAGTTCTCACTATTACTGAGAAAAGGCTTCAAGCAGTCACTTTTATCTGCCATGATTACTGCACTAAAAATTCTATAAACAAATCCTTTTATTTATAATCAGTAATGGAAATTAACAAATAGCACACATCACAGATGATGAGTGTTGTGTCAGTCATTTCCTTACTCTTATTCTCCAAACATTACTTGAAGCAGTACTTCCAGATACTTAAAATAAGGAATCAATGTTCACTGAAAAACTCAAGAGTTTAAATATGCTTTCCATCTTCTATGATTTACAGCAAGGAACCAGTCTTAAAAACCTTAAAGAGAAACTATTTTTTCCCTCTAAAAACAGTGTAAAGGGCCTCCCCGGTGGCGCAGCGGTTGAGCGCTGGGTTGCGAAGCTGCCTGCAGCCTCTACAGCACCGGTTCAATCCCCAGCTGCTCCCCAGCCACTGGAGGAGGGTCCCACATGGCGCGCAGACCTCTCCTGCCACCCCCTGCTACCCTCAGCAGTGTACTTTGGTCCTTCTGCCTGCTCTGCAACCCGCTCTGGCTCTGGTGAATTCTCTCACCCTCCCGTGCTTCTGACTGTACCCAGTGCTTGTATAAATAAATAAAAAATAAATCTAAAAATAAAATAAAATAAAATAAAAATAAAAACAGTGTAAAGAAAAATAGAATGTGTGTGTGTGCACAGATGAAACAAGCTGATGTGATGAGAAACAGACTTAAAAACTGTGGCAGCTGATATTTCAAATCAGTTTACTCTGTTTCAAGATTGGCCTGAGGGCTTGTAAGGTGTGTAGAATATGGGAGTTGCTCTTATTTAGGTCTCTATGCCTAGCAAAGTTGTCATCTGTAGTGTGAGACAGGAAGCAGTGTGTAAACCAAACTTCAAGGTTTTAACTCAGAGGATTATGGCCACTAACAGCTGCAATAACATTTAAAAGTTTACACAGAGGGCCTCCCTGGTGGTGCAGCAGGTTGAGCACAGCGCTGTGAAGCTGTCCACAGCCTCTGCAGTGCTGGTTCGATGCCCGCCGTCCTCGGCGCAACCTGCTTGGCGAGCAGACCTATCCTGTTTCGCCCGCTGCTCCCCTCAGAAGTGTATTTCGTCAGTCTGCCTGTTCTGTTGCCCGCTCTGTCTCTGGTGAATCCTCTCACCCTCCCGCACCTCTGGCTGTACCCCAGGTCTTGTCTAAAAAAAAATAAATCTTTATAAAACTATATATATATATATATATATGTAAGTTTATATAGAACACAGCAGTGTTTTTCCTACTAAATAAGAGATACTAGGTATCTAGAATATATAAAACCTAAATCAAGGACTATTACATACCTAGAATTTCAGGCAATGACTGGTGAAAATATTCCTGCCCTAGTCTCAGAGACTTTGCAGAATTCAAGATGCCAAGGTTAGTTTCTACAATTAACTTGGTCAAGACTTTCAGTGATAAACGGTAAGTCTTAATAGATCCAACAAACTGGAAAGAATGCAAGAGGTACAGTGAGTAACTACTGTGAGTAACAACGGTGAGTAACTACTGTGAGTAACAACAAACTGGAAAGAATGCAAGAGGTACAGTAACTAAAAACATGTATAGAATTATAAATCCACAGCCCCTTATTGGTAATTTCAAAATCTAAAAGGTTTGGATATGGTGTGATAACACACTTTGTAGACATGTGAACCTATATCCCTAAAACATATACAGTGTTATAAATCAACATTACCTCAATAAACATAATTTTTAAAACTCCAAAAGGCTATGAAAAGAAGCATTTTTTATATCTGAACTCATGTAGTGGCAACACCTGACTAACCTGACAAAGGCAATCTGGGTTTTGCTCAAGATAAATACTCATATTCTGGGCTACAGAAGTAGTAACTTGCCTGATTATAAGGTGCTGCCCAGTCCTCTGGGGGTGAAAATTATTAACATTGTGCACATCAATGCCCCAAACTGCCATTCTAAACAGAACAATCCTGTTTCCAAAGCATATTTAGCCTGAAGATCGTCATAAAAAGGATGTGAACCTGCCTAACACCGATTTCCATGCAGTCTGATTAATAAAACAAAAATATACTTATCCAACAAGAACCTTTTGAATCTCCGAGACTAGGGAGGAAATATTTTCACCAGCCATTGCCTGGTTTTAGGTTTTATACAATCTAGATACCTAGCATCTCTTACCTAGTAGGAAAAATACCACTGTGTTCCATATAAACTTTTAAATGTTATTGTAGCTGGTAGTGGCCACAATCCTCTGAATGTTTGATTCAAGCATTAAATATATAAGCATTGATAAATCACAAAGATGATTTTATATACAAATACCCACACTTTATCATACTAAAGCATAATGCACTATGACCATGTTATAAAGCCAGTTTATTCCAGGAGACTGGTACTCTGCAATCTCAATTCAGGATTCACTGTTCTCAGTAAGATGCTATTAAATTAGGTAAAAAGCTGCTTGTTTCAGCAATTTTAAACAGTCCATGTCAAGGCAATAATAATACCTTATAGTGCCTATTAGCAGCTTACTAATAGCTTTGTCACCAATTCCTTCTACAGGATGAAGCATCACAAATCCCTGTATCTCTTTAAATTATACTTTGCATTCAAATTTATTTTATTTTAAATACAAAAGCTCAAAGACTCAATTAAACATAAATGATATAACAACTCTCTTTTTTTCTTTAAGATTTATTTATACAAGAACCAGAGTACAGGCCAGATGCGTGACAGGGTGAGAAGATTCACTAGAGACAGAACGGGGAACAGAACAGGCAGACTGACAAAATACACTGCTGCGGGAGCAGCGGGCGAGACAGGAGAGGTCTGCTTCGCCATGTGGGATTCTCGCTGTCTCGCTGGGATCGAACCCGTGCTGCAGAAGCTGCGGACAGCTTCACAGTGCGGCGCTCAACTGCCTTCACCACCAGGGAGGCCCCAACAACTCTCTAACTTTTAAGGCAAAACTTTCTTTGCATGTTTAGATTTAAAGATTTAAAGGTCAAGGCGCTATCTTAAAGTACTAATTTATTCAGTTCAGTGGACATATTTAATATGCTTTCTTTATAACATATTACCATTAAATAACTCAGCTTATATAAAAGTTATTTGCATTTTTCACATAAGTAATCCTAAATGTGAGATTCTGAATTCTGGACTATCTATCCACCGATTGTGCCACATTCTTCGGGTTCTATGTCTCTTACAGTTGATCTCCCACCTAGAAAACCTTTTCCACACTTTCCACACTCATCTTTCAAGTGTCTTTCTTCTTCTTTCTTAAAAGCTTCTTTCCTCAATCACTGTGAATAGAATTGTTTAACTTTCCTCTTTGCAACCATTACATTTCTTTTTTTAGTGGCAATTGTACTGTAATTATTTTTTCACCTCATACCTGCTAGGGCAACCAGCTTATACAAGACAAGGGTGATGAAGTTATTCTTTGTTTTTCCCTCCTAAACTTTGCACACAAATATCTCTACCTCAATAACTATTTGAACATATGAATAATCAAGTAGTTATTATTCCATTAGAAAGGTGTACACCCCTCATATCTGATCATCCGTTTAGGACGAAAAATTTTAGGATATGCCAGACTCTTCAAAGGGGGAAAGACTAAGCCACACACTTTTTAAGCAGAAAGTAGAATTCACAATCAATACCACAGGCTACTTCAGTGTACTGTGAATATTCAATTGAGATGTAACATTGTTAGATGTCAAGAGTCAGACAGAAAGGTCAACCATGGTAACTTGCTTTATTTCAAATTCCCTCTTGCTGCCATATCCTAAAGCATTCAAACAGAATTCATTTTGAGTCGGTGTCAAAGGTTTGAAAAACAAGCTATTTTTATAAGTAAAGTGTAAAATTACTTAAGGAAAATACTCTAGATCAATGTTTCTCTAACTTTATGCATACAAGAACTGCCTGGGACTCTTACTAAAAATGCAACTGTGGTTGCATTTGTGTTGGAGTTTGAGATTCTGCATTTTCTAACAAGTTCTCAGGTAAGGTTGATGCTGTTGGTCTAGGAAACACACTTTAAGTAGCACTTTCAAAGTAAGAGACAGCTATATTTTCCTCCAAAATCGAGGTTGGAGTTATCTCAGTTTTAACATACACATTCTAGTTAATATTCTTTGCTATTATCTATCTTGATGGTGTCAGTCATATGAAACATTTAAAAAATGGAAGCAGTCCATATTACCTTTTAAATTTTTTAATTGTTCTTACCTATACTCTGGTAATGCCATCGATAGAAAATTCGTTCAGGTAGAAACTGCAGTATTTTCTATAAAACAAACAAAAAACTAGTAAGATATAAAGAGAATAGAAACAAAAAATGAAATTACACATTTTCATGATAGGCTTATTTTATATATGTAGATATATATAAATATAAATACAAAAGGGGAAAACTATTTATAATAACATAAATACTATGTTTTATCCTATGCCCCATTTAATAGTTTCTTTTACTTGTCCCAGGTAAGCTTACCTCTCTGTACATTTTAAAGAGATTACTGTACCAGGTGTAACTCCCCCTAAAAGAAAATAAGCAAAACCCCTAGAACAATAATTTTATCTTAATCCAATCACAGGCATTTCATAAATATTAAAAGAATAATTTCTAAATGTGAGATTCTCAGATTTCTTCTTTTCCCCATCTGCTTCCCATTTTCATTAAATCACTGAGTCTCTGGACAAGAAACAGAGTTGGGAACAAAGATGACCAACAAAGAAGATAAAACAGCAAAAAATTCAATGGACCAAAAAAAAATGAAATCGGTGGCAAGAATTTCTTAAAGTAAATAGCTAAAAATAACTCTTAGGATTGTAGTTATAACTGTCCTCTCCATTATTGGTAGGTGTATTTTAATAAAGAGCAACTGTATGTTCACAAGAATATCTGTAGCTTTTCTCAAAAAAAAAAAAAAACAAACAGAATGACTTTTCTTTCAGTCTAGAACAAGCTCTGGGAAGTTATTTTTGGGAAACAACATTCCTTGTTCTTTATCAGCAATCACCCTATTTTAAAAATTCAGAAATTCCAAAAACTGGTCAAAATACACATTTTTTTTGCATTTTCATCTTGGTTATACTTCCACAGAAAAAAAAATTAAGAATAATATCTACTGAAAGGCATGTCAATATAAGACATACTTTTTATGTAGATTTATCTGAAAAACTCCTAATGCTTTCTTCATTTGAATAAATAGTTTTAAAAAAGAAAAAAAATACACATATTGGTATTAACAATGTATCACTAGAAAAATCTTCATTCTAGGTTTATTCAGCCTAATACTCTAATAATTTGAAAAATTAAGGTAAAAAAATTTATATTCATACCTCCTACATAAGTGATATTCCCTAGTAACCAACAAAATGCTTCCTCTATTAGAGCCAGCTTAGAGTTTTGCTTTGCTTTGCTCTGTTATGTTTTGTTTTTTTGTTTTTGTCTTAACTTCCCAGCTGGGTCAGTAATATACACATGTATTTATTTTATTTGTTCCTATTCAACAATAAAGGAATGTATAAGAACATCTCCTGGGAAAAGCCACAAAGGATAAACTTCCTTCAATCAAAGGTGACTCTAAGTAACTCAGACGTCTCCCTTGACCTGGAGAGGTCCTGCCCCACATTATTGCATGGGTGGTTAACTCCTTTCCGTGTAGGTGGCATTTCAAGCATCACTTCCTCACAGAGGCCTTTTTGAGCACTCTCACTTAGGAGCCTAACTCTCTCCCCGTCCCTCTGATGCTTTCTCCACCACTTGTACTATTGTCTTCACAGCCCTCATTCTTAGTGGGTTTTTTTTTTTTTTTTTGTGTGTGTGTGTGTGTGTGTGTGTGTGTGTGTGACCCTCGCCAGTGGCCAGCCAGGGAACAAACGGTCGCTGCAGAGGCTGTGGGCAGCCTCGCAGCCCAGCGCTCAAACGCTGCGCCATCAGGGTAGGCCCCCTCATTCTTAGTTTTAAAGATGTCATTAGTTTACTCATTTCAATGCGTATTCTCTCCACCACAGCACAAGCTCCATGACAGCAAGAAAACCTTTACCTTGTTCCCTGATGTATCCCCAGCACGTAAGCATGTCTGGTAGACAGTATATGCTCAATACATACACAGTAAAAGAATTCTGAATGCTTTTTACTTGTGAATTCTGAATTTTATAGGTAATCTCAATCTTCGCTCCTATGTTCATACTAACACAAAATATATATTGTCTTTCCTTATATCTCACTGGATTAGCAATGACACTTACATTAAAAAATTTTAAAATGCGTGGTCATTTTTTAATCCCAAACTTAGGGGGGAAAGCAAACAAAAAATAAAAGGTACATAATTTAAAAGAATTGTTCAAGACCAAACAAAATATAAATGCATTTAGTTATATGATTTGTTATAACTTCTCCATACTTTACATCTACAGAGATGAAAATGCTATACAAAGTTTATTTCTGATAAAATATTTACACATATTAATATATACATTAAAATATATGTATATTAATATATGTATTAACATACATGCATTAATGTGTGTGTCAAAAACATTGATATGTATTAAAATAGTACATGCTTTTATGTACTATTTTGTATGATATTAAAATAGTACATATCTGATCTCATGCTAAAAATCACTAAAGTCTCTCCTACATTTGCATTTCAGACTTACTCTAGATCATGCTCAGTTGTTATCTTTTAGTCCCATAATTCTAAAAGGCACCTTATATCTTATTTTACTATGTGATAATAATGATATACACTCAAACACACCTACACACACACTCTCTCTCTAAATACCACCTAGTGAAAAATACCTACATTCTAGATACCAAGCTTGGCATAATATAAACATAAGATAAATATGATTAAAATACTTAGTCTTTACTTCTGAGGGTTTCATGATTAGTGGGCAAGAGATGAAGAAAATATCATTCCCAAAAAAAGATGTCTGAGAGAAGTTTGAATAAGTTGCTATATAGTTGAGGAGGAAAGTAACTCGTATTAGTTGGGGCTTCATATAATGTTACCTGGAAGAGAGGACATCAAGCTGATACTCAGTGAATTAATTAAATTAACCAAGTAAAGACAGAACCAGAAGGGCACATGTGAAGGCCAATAGGCAAAAACAGTATGGTGCCTGAAGGAACACACCAGCAAAAGGTCAGCAAGGTTGATAGGTGGTTAAGATGGAAAGACGTGACTGGAGAGGTGGGTAAAGCCAGAGGTTAATGTTCTCATGGACAGTGTGTAGTCCGTGAACATGTTCTCATTGGAGGTCACTTTAAGATGGCAGAGAAGAGAGGCAGAAATGTCAATGAAATGGTAATGGTAGTATTTCAAACAAGGAATGAAATGGCTTGGACCAGAGTATAAGCAGAGTAAAGAGGATAAGCTGTAAAAGCGATATTCTGGAGGCAAAATAGTCAAAATAAGCAGGTATGGTGGTTATGGTAAATGAAGGACTCAAGAATGATTCCTCTTGGGGAAGGGGGAAAATCTCCAATGGCTTAGTAGATGGCAATACTTTTATCCAAGATAACAAATGCAGAAGGAATGCAGAACTAAAGCATATCAAGTTGGTTCTGAACATCCTAGAATTTGAGATGTCAATGATGACTATCTTAGTGGATGTTGATCTAGCAACTGAATACATGGATCTGGTATGTAGAAGCATAATTTGGATGGTATATGCTATGCGGCAGCTGAGGATGCATGTATATAAGATCGTTAAGGAGAGAGTTTAGAATGAGAAGATGATATGAAACCCTAGAGATAACAGTATGTTGAAGTTCTCTTAATAAGGTAAGAATCAAGAGGTTAGAGCAGAAGCTAGAGACAAAATGTGTGCAGGTCAAAGGAGAAAATTTTGATGTGCCAGGTATGTGTATTTGTTTGAAAGTCTATTTTTTTGAAAGACTAGAAATATTTATGATTATTAATATATACAACTAGCTAGAAAAGTTAAAAATGCCAGAAAATGTGTGGAAAATGGATGCCACAAAACAAAGTGACTTTAGTAATAAATCAGTTTAATAAATCAAATGAGTCCAATCTTACCTACTGCCTGGAGAACTCAAAGTCTTTGTCAGTCAGACACCAAATGCTAGACAGGATGGATTATTTATAATTTGTGCAGAGGCAAGTGGTTCCTTTGGGGGCAGAAAATCAAAATAGGCCTTCACGTTGCAATATACAACAAAATGACATATAGGTAGATAAGAAACAAAAAGAACTAAGTATAAAACTGGACTATGTTTTGTTATGACCATTACATTAAGAGAATAAGAATTTAAAAAAGAGTTCTCCAAGAAAGCATAGATCTACCAACAGAATGTAAACCTGAATATCCCTTGAGTTATAGAAGACAACATAGACTGGAGAACCCAGAAAGCGGTTTATAGATTACTGGAAAACAACACAAATAAAGCGGTAGTACAAAAAAAAAAAAAAAAAAAAAAAACCACCAAAACAAAACATAAAAACCTAAAGACTCTAGAACTGAGAATAAGGATCAGGGTCTCGGCAGTTTGGCTGCTGCCAAGCCAAGCAAGCAACTCCAGATAGGCAGCTGAAGGTCTCCCACCTTGGAGAGACAGCCTCCACACAAACCCATGTTTTAGAATTCTTTAATTCATACTATCTTTTCACTAAAAAATTTACTAGAGCCTCATTCAATATATTTGATAATGAATAATAATTATTGCTGCTTGAATTCTCTGGAAAACAGAACTGCAGGGGGAATTAAGAGTGACAATGCTTTATTGGGGGGTAACATCTATGAGAGAGAAATGAGGAAAAGAAGGATTGGGCAGGAGCCTCAAACCACCACATGAAGTTGACAAATCACTGCCAACATACCCAATGATGCAAAGCAAAGAGAGCCCATTAAGAGCAGCTCCATATGCCTGAAAATGGCTCAAGTATTATATCACTGTCTCACCCAGTCATTGACAGAGAACTGCAATGAGAGAAGTGTTCACCATGGCTGGAGACTGCCAGCTAACCCCAGTCTTTGCAGTGGGGCAGCAAATTCTTTCATGAAGGAGAATGTGAGTAACATCTCTCTGTCTGCCACAAAAAAATCTTCAAATGTTTAACTAGAACATTCTCACAGTTATTAAGAAACTGAAATACTAAGAGAAGTGAACCCTACTCAGGGCACTGCTTCTCATTGGTGGGTTCCTGGATCACACTGACAGAAGCCAGAGTCAACTAAGTCTGCCCAAAGTCTTCCTGTCCCTTTCCAAGCAGCTCACCCTCACTTGACTCAGTGCTCTACTTTCTC